GGAGTTTCTTGGGGTTAGCTGGCTACTATAGAAGGTTTGTAGAGGGGTTTTCCTCACTTGCAGCTCCATTAACTAAGTTGACTCAGAAAGCAGTTAAGTTCCAATGGTCAGACGCTTGTGAGCAGAGTTTTCAATAGTTAAAGAAGAGGTTGACCACTGCACCTGTTAACCTTGCCGACAGGTTCGGGTGGATTCACAGGGTATTGTGATGCCTCCAGAGTGGGCCTTGGTTGTGTTCTTATGCAAAATGAAAAAGTTATTGCTTATGCTTCCAGGCAGTTAAAGAATCATGAAAAGAACTACCCCACACACGACTTGGAGCTTGCAGCAGTGGTGTTTGCATTAAAAATATGGCGACACTACCTTTATGGCGAGCATTCTGAAGTGTTTACGGATCACAAAAGCCTCCAGTACATTTTCAAGCAAAAAGAACTAAATTTGAGACAAAGAAGGTGGCTCGAGCTATTGAAAGATTATGACATCAATATCCTTTATCACCCGAGCAAAGCTAATGTGGTAGCAGATGCACTTAGTAGGAAGTCAATGGGTGTCTTGGCCCATCTTGGTGTACAAAGGCGATCTTTGGGTCGAGAAATTCAAAAAACTAGCCAATGATGGAATTAGATTGGATGAGACCGAAGAAAGAGATATAACTGCTTTTGCCTTAGCACAATCCTCCCTTGTTGCGCATGTTAAGGCTAAGCAAGACGAAGATCCATACTTAGTGAAATTAAAAGGAGTCGGAAGCAAAGAAATCACTGCTTTCACTCTAGGAAATGACGAAGTTTTGAAGTTGAATGATCGGTTATGTGTGCCTGATGTAGATGGTCTTAGGAAGGCCATAATGGAGGAAGCTCACAGTTCGAGGTACTCTATCCACCTAGGTGCTACCAAAATGTATCTAGATTTGAAAGAGTTGTATTGGTGGAAAGGCACGAAGACACAAGTAGTAGATCATGTGGCTAAACGTTTATTTGCCAGCAAGTCAAAGCCGAGCATCAGAGGCCTGGTGGCCTAGCTCAAGATATAGAGATACCACAGTGGAAGTGGGAGATGATTAATATTGATTTCGTAGTAGGTCTACCTCGCACATACCGTAAACATGATTCAATTTGGGTTATTGTAGACCGACTAACAAAGTCCGCGCATTTCCTACCAGTAAAGACGACAGACTCCGCAGGGCAGTATGCGCAGTTGTACATCAAAGAAATAGTCCGATTGCATGATACTCCAGTTTCAATCATATCTGATAGAGGCCCTCAGTTCACGGCGCATTTTTGGCAGGCATTTCAGAAAATATTAGGTACCAAGGTCAATTTAAGCACCGCTTTTCATCTACAGACCGATGGCCAGACAGAAAGGACCATTCAGACTCTCGAAGATATGATGCGTGCGTGTGTTATAGATTTTGGAGGTAATTGGGATTATCACTTGCCACTTATAAAATTTGCTTACAATAACAGCTATCAGGCCAACATTGGTATGGCTCCTTATAAAGCGTTGTATGGGCGAAGATGTAGGTCTCCAGTGGGTTGGTTTGAACCAGCAGAGGTGCCGTTGATTGGTCCAGAGTTTGTTTGTGAGGCCTTGGAGAAGGTTCAACTAATTAGAGAAAGACTTAAAGTGGCTCAGAGTCGTCAAGTCTTATTCTGACAAGAGGCATCGTGAGTTAGAGTTCATGGTTGGTGATAAGGTGTTTTTGAAAGTTTCACCAATGAAAGGAGTTATGAGATTTGGTAATAAAGGGAAACTTAGCCCTAGATTTATCGGACCTTATGAAATTCTAGAAAGGAAAGGAAATGTGGCTTATAAGCTAGCGCTACCCGTTGAGTTGTCCTCTGTTCATGTTGTCTTTCATGTGTCTATGCTTAGGAAGTACATTCATGATGAGTCACATATAATACCTGCCGATACCATAGAAATTAAAGAAGGTTGGACTTATGAAGAGATACATATAAAAATTCTCGATAGACAAGTAAGGAAGATGAGAACAAAAGATATAGCATCGGTAAAAGTTTTGTGGAGTAATCATGATTCAAAAGAAGCTACGTGGGAGGTCGAGGAAGATATGAGGAAGAAGTATCCTTATTTATTTGAGTAACAAGGTATGTAAACCTAGGTTTGACTTGACATTTATATTTCATTTGNCTTGACATTTATATTTCATTTATTAAATACAAGTTAGCAAGTGTTTATGTCCTTCCTAGATTATATTTAGTTGTTGCAGTGACTTAGTTTATGCCAGAGTATATTTAATTCATTAAAGTGATTTACTTTTGCGAAAGTGTTGTGCTTTAGATTCTTGATAGTTATTGTGGTACCTCCTTGCCGGAGTGTGAGTAATTAATTTATGAGTTGTGTATGGTGCCTATGAATGGCCTGTTATGGTATATTTGGTTGTTGGCGATGTAGTTGTGGTATTTGTGACAGGGATATATTTTTTGGATAGTCCAATTTACAAGGGAAACTCTGCCGAAATTTTTGAAAATTTAGGGAGTTAACCAAAATTTTGAGTCCCTTGGAAGAGTGAGTAGTGCTAAGAAAACTTAAGAGGTTCAAGGACCTAAGGAATGATTGTTAGCTTAAGAATAAGGCCCTAGCAACATTCGAGGACGAATGCTTTTAAGGAGGGAAGATTGTAACACTCCTCAAATTTATAAAAGTTTCAAGACACGCTAAATATAGAACTTAATTTTTCTTTAAAAAAAAAACTTAAATTATACTTCTATTACGGATTTAAACCCGTGTGATTAATTTTGAGCTACTTCTCTATTTATAAATAATTGGATATACAATTAGGGAAATATTAATAACTTTAGTATTATTAATTATTAAAAGTAGGTATAATTAAATACTAGTTAAGTCAAAAAAAAAAAAAAACTAAAAGGAAAAGGGCACGTGAGCCTTAAGCCCATAAAGGACTCTTGGCAGACAAAGGCGTGAAAGCCATTGAAAGATAGGAGTCCACTTTCTGTTCAAGAAACAGAAGCCGTTTCAGCGAGATACTCACACAGGCAACGGAAAACTCTAGGGTTCTTCATAACTCACTTACTCTTGAACTCAGGTATATAAAATTCCCTATTCTCAATTACCCTACAGTAGTAATAGGTAAGAATTGAATAGTTAATTCAATTCTTTCTCTGTATCAATAGTAAATCCCATGTTTAGGTGTGAAACTTTGAAATTAATTAAAATGCACTGGTTGTTGTAGAATCAATTGTTTGACGAGTATAAATTGGACTGGGGTCTACGTATTGGCTCGAGGAATATTGAGGTGAGTTGATATAACCCTTTACTAAAGTGGTTTAACTCACAAAAGCACGCACACAAGTTGTTTGATGAATTGCATAAAAGAGTTAATATATACTTAATTGGAGTAGTAAGTGCCTATTAGCTTAGAATTATTTTCTAACTAAAGTTTAGATGATTATTTGGATATATGTGCATAAATTTCAGATTTTTATGTTATTCTGATACGCCACCTTCATGTTGAAAATTCATGAAGGATCAAGAACCTTTGTAAATACTTTTGAATGTTTATTTCATTCTTATGACATGCCTTACATTTAAGGATACCAGTATGAGTATGTATAAAAGATTTAGACTTGAAAAGTCACAAGAAGAAGTTTTAGAAAGAAAAGATTTTTGGGAGTATCCTTTATTCTGAGAAGGGGTCATCGTCCAGACCTAGGGTCCTGACCAAAGCGTTGACTTTCTGAAACTACTTGTGCCAAAGTGGGGAACACACGAGCCGAGGGTCTCGTTGCTGAGAATTTACTTAGCCATGCTAAGCTATGAGACATGAGCGCTGAGAACCATGAAGCGAGTGGCACCTCGTGGATTGGGCCTATTCGATCAGGTTGGGATCGAACCCGTGCCGATCACACGGTGACTGAGACAAAATTAAGTCAGGATAGTTGGAACTCCCAAAGTATAAAGTAAAGTATATTTTTTGTTAAGAAAGAAAAGGAAAAGAATTTCTTTTAGAATATTCAAAAACTGCTATTATGCAATTATTTAGAATTATTCTTATAAGCTTTATGTTTTACATGCATTTAGAACCTTTGCTCATAATGTATATGTTATTAAAGTTTCGCCCCCTGTTGTTGAGACTCACTGAGTACAATGGATAGTACTGACGTTCTCTTTTGGGAACCTACATTGGTCTGCGGTACAGCGTAGGAACCGGATTTGCAGGCGAGCAGACTACGAGTTAGGACCTCTTTATCTTCCAGTGCTATTGGTGAGCTCCGCTTTTGTTCGTGGAGTATTCCTTAGAGTCATCTTTATTTAGTTATTTCTTTGTTACTTAGAGAACTGGCCAGGAAATCTCATGTCCTGAGCAGTGCGTCAGTTTATCAGTAGAGGCTTCATAGACATAATCGTTGGGTTAAGATTCAGATGTATTTGATAATAATTTAGCAGTATTTCATTGGTTACTATGAATAAAGTTTTGAAGTTGATTTATTTAAATGTTTAAATTAATTAAAAGTATGTGGTTAGAGTATTGCCTTGTTGCATATAAAGTTTGAAGTTATAATAGATTTGATAAGCAGAGATGGTTCGCTCGGTCATGTTTAGTGATCGAGTGCCGGTCCCGGCTTGTTCAGAAAATGGGTCGCGTCAAACAAACCTTGCCCCTACCTTGAGAAGGTAGAAAGGTTGTTTCCGATAGATCCTCGGCTCAAGGAACAGTGAAAAAACTCGTTCCCTTACTATTCTTTAACAAAGATGTAAAGAAAAGGTTAGCCACATCATAATCTCTAACACAAAGTGTCAGTCACTCCATTTAGCTACTAAAACAAACGTTTCTTTAGATAAAGCAAGGTAATATTATTAAACAAATACTAAGAAGGTGCTTCAAAAGCACAACAAAAGTGACACAATGACAGTTAGCTTCTAAGCGAATGTAAATTCTCCTTTCATACATATCTATAAAGTTCATAGATAACATAAAACATCAGCCTATCGTCGAGCAATAAAACATACAAGTTAAAAAAGAAAAACTTTACAATTCAAAGAATCACCTTTAACAGCTGGAGATCCCTTTTCAGCTCGGGAGTAATTGTTTGTGCAGGCATATCAAACCTAATTAAAAATTTCACAACCAATCAATAATTTTTGTAAAAAGGAACAAATTCATGATAGTAACTATAGAAATTTGAGGAACTAAAATTCGAGATATACCAATTTTTGCCAGCAGTATCCTTGACTTGTTTTCGAAGGAATTTGTTCACCTTTTTAGGATCATTAGGAGGAACAAATAAGCCGTCAATAAGTTCAGAACTAGGTTTATATACTGCACTGGTCTCAGCCTCCTTATTGGAGCTGCTCTTTTTGGTACCAAATGATAATTGAGGTAATTTTGGTTCCCATGAAAGTCCAATTACAGGCTTGTTTTCAGGCATTCTGAATTGCTACAAGTTTCAAACTAATGAGTAATTGCTTTAATAAATAAGCAAATTTAACCCTAAAAGACGAATAGAAGAAGAGACTCTTACCTGCCGGCGCCGGAGATGAAATGGAGAGGCGGCGGCTATGGACTTATGAGTGAAAGGCCCGAAAGTGAGAAAACCTATTATTGAATGTCTTGTATCTGTATTAGACAAGTAATATTACTTAAGTATTTTAAAATTATGTAATAGATAATTTGGAATATTAAGTGGTGAGCAACACTAAAATTATATACGTGTCACCTATAGGTTATGAGTTTAAAGGGCAGTTCGGTGCATTAAATTACTACTATGCGAGAGGTTCGGGAAGGGTCGGACCACAAGAGTTTATTGTATACAACTTTACCTGCATTTCTGCAAGAGGCTATTTTCACGGCTCGGAGCCGTGACCAGGAGCCGTAGAAACAACATTAGGGTAGGTTGTCTACATCACATTCCTATGAGTGCGGTCTTTTAAACATTAGGGTAAGTTGTCTGTATAGGGATGCTTTGTGTTCCGAACTGCTTAATTAATTCGAAATATTTGTTTGAACCGATGTTTTGTAAATTTAAACCGGACTATTGAACTTTGAAATATTAAAAATAAAATAGAATTATTGATTTTTATTGAATAATAAACAACCTTAATCATGATTATGTTATGTCTTTAGAGGTCATGCGATCGAGTTATGGAAACAATATTAGGGTAGGTTATTTACATCATACTCCTAGAAGTGCGGTCCTTTCCCGAAAAACATTCGGGTAAGCGGTCTGTACAAGGATGTTTTGTGCTCAATTAATTGGGAATATTTGTTTGAATCGATTTATTGTAAATTTAACCCCGACTATTGAACTTTGAAATATTAAAAATAAAATAGAATTATTGATTTTTATCGAATAATAAACGACCTTATTCACGATTACGTGCTGTCGTTTTTAGGGTATTGTATCTTTTATACTATTTCTCTTTATGATTGGTACAAGACGTTCTGGAGAAAGGTCACACTTCGAAAATATTCTCTTTGGTCAAGAAGAAAATTTTGTATACGGTAAAAATCGGGTCCGCCCCCTATGATTAATCGAGATTGAAATATGATAGGTTAAGGTTCGACCCGGATTATACCGAACCAAAGTGCGAAGTTATATCGTTCAGTTCGACCCCGGGGCCAGACAATATCGAGATCATGCGAGATCGAGGGAAATTTGCCATGCCGAATTACGAAAGGACGAAATATCCGTGATCAGGTGCAGATCACGGCGGGAATCTCGGCACGTATCAAGCATGTGCCAGTTAATTAGATAATCATGAGATTTCTTACCACATATAGATTTTATCAAGTGTAGGATTCTCCTACTATATAAAGGGGGTATGATCATTTGTAAAACACATCATATTAACGCAACATAAAGCAATATACTGTCACTTTCTAGCTTTTATTATGTTGTTATTCTATTAGACTGTTCATACTTCAGTTGAAACATCTTTGGTTGGAGGCTGGTCAAACTCGAGGGCCAAGGCAGTTCGATTCGCGTGGTTTGCATTTATTCTTCTATTGTAAATTTCAATATTAATTTGTCTTCTTAATTTGTGCCAAGTTATATCACGTATCCTTAAAATCACGTATAAATTCAATTGTTATTCATTTTTAGGGTAAACAGTTTGGCGCCCACTATGGGGCTAAGGATAATAGTGGTTACTCGGTGCAAACTTTCATAACACACACTATTTTTCACTTGTTCTTTGAAGTATCTTCGATTCCAGGATCAGAATGTTGAACTCTCAGTCAGCACCCCTTCACGTCGACAACGGTTTCGTCCACCACAGCGAGAATGATAATATAGCACCAGGAAACGATGTACCCCCGGTTGATCTCGATGGAGTTCCAGTTGTAGATCCAACTGACGTCAGCTCACACGTAGCCCTTAACGCCAATTTGGCTGTCGATCCCGAGGGCAGCGTTTGTGGGTATGTTCGATCAGTAGCTCAAAGCGCACGTGGTGGCGAAGATGGCGGGATCAACCTACGAGTGATCTTCGACATGTTACAGGCTCAACGGGCAGCTATAGCCCAGCTACAAAATTAGAATCACCCACCGAGTAGGATCGAGCCCGAACTGTCACAAGAAGTTGTCCACAGGATCGAATCGTTTTCGAAGAGATCGAACGAGCAAGAATCGGGTACCGATCCTACAATCATGAAGATGCTCGAAAAACTGACAAAACGAATCGCGCTGGGGGAAAAGAAGATCGAGGCAGACGATAAGAAGGTGGAAACTTACAACTCCAGGGTTAATCAAATCCCGGGGGAACATTCAATTTTGCAGGGTCTAGACTCCAAAAAGTTCGTACAAAAGCCTTTCCCCCGAGCACTGCTCCCAAGCCGATCCCCAAGAAGTTCTGAATGCCTGAGATTCCTAAATACAACGGAACAACCTATCCGAATGAGCATGTCATCACTTACACGTGTGCTATCAAAGGGAACGATCTAGAGGATGATGAAATCAAATCTGTCTTGCTAAAGAAGTTCAAAGACACCCTGTCGAAGGGGGCTATGAAATGGTACCACAATTTACCACCTAATTCTATTAACTCGTTTGCTATGCTTGGAGATTCTTTCGTTAAGGCACATGCCAGAGCCATCAAGGTCAAAACTAGGAAATCAGACCTTTTCAAGGTGTTGCGGCCAAACGCACATGCAAGTATACGCGGTCGTCAAGTAATAAAGTGACTAAAAGTCGGATGTCGATCCCACAAGGACTTGTGATTAACTATTAACTAAATTAGACTATCCTAATTATCTAAACAAGAATTAAACCTAGAAGTATTTGATTCTAAACTAATTAAATAAAGAAATATAAATAATGAACTTTGAACAGAGGAGGAACAATTTTTTATGTTATCAATGTAATGAAAACGATCTAGGGTTATGGGATATCTAACAACCCTATTGTATTCTTCAATTGAATTGACTGACTAATTTATCTAGCTTATTGGTTGACATGGTTAATATTGCTCATAAGAATCTGTCGAGTTCTTACTCGTCTATTCATGCTAACCTAATGCCTATATGTGTATGGAGTTAGAATCAACAAGAACACATTTATAATTCCTGTAAATCAACCAAGCAAGGCAATTAGATATATGTCTATCCTAACCGCAAATTCGTTCCCCGATGCCCAGGTTCAAGAACTTGCTCTACTTAATCCTATATGCAATCTAGAATTTCCACTTTCGGGTTCAACTCTAAATTCGTAGATAATATTCAATTGGTGATCAAGCAATTAAATAATTAAGCGCATGATTAAATAAATAATCTAATATGATAAATCAAGAAAGCAAAATCAATATCCGAATAACAATAATCATGAAAGAACATAACCCTAGAACGTGAAGTTTAGCTCCACATAGACATGGTAGCCAAACAACAAATCATACAAAGAAACATAAGAAAAATACTAAGTTTGGTAGAAGAAAAGATGAAACCCGGCCTCCACGGCGGCTCTGTGCTCTCCCAAGGTCTAAGATGTGTCAAAAGTTTCAAAAATAGCATTTTTATATGTATTTATAAGTAGGGTCGGGTCCAGATGAAATACCCTTTCCTACACGAAATAGGACTCTGACTCTGTAAAATTTGTACCGGTGCGCCGCACCCTGCGGCGTGCTAGTAGGGAAGTTCAGAGAGCTGATGCTGACAGACTGCAAGAAAATTCCAAAGGCACGGCGCACGCTATGCCGCTTCATTTGCTGCGGTAGTGATAACTTGCAAAAATGCAAAACATGAAAGTTGTAGTCCTTTCAAATAGCTTTCTAATGATACATTGTGAAGCCCAAACGGAGTTCTGAGCGAAAAGTTATGTGCATTTTACTAGATAATGCGTCTTATGCCCGCTCGATTCTTCGTTTCGTTCTTAACTATCATCCGTTGATCCCCGAACACGATCCCGGCTTAATTCCTTGGGATTTTACTCATACTTCAAAGCTCCAAATCACTTAAATTCATTCCATAATGCCTACATAGATCGAAATCACTCCTACAGGACATAAAACACATATTTAGTGCAAAACGCTAGCGATTAAAGCTCAAACTCAATTAAAGTGCAATAAATTAGAGTGTAATAAGCGACTAAATTACGCAGTTATAGCCTATCATCACTGCCCCACACTTAAACCATTGTTTGTCCTCGAGCAATCAACTACACTTTATATAGATACGACCTTTTTAAACAATTCTCCTAACTCATCGCACCAAGAATATTTAAAATAAATTAAGCACAAAAGTGTAACATCCTCACCTCAAGATTTGACTCACAAGTACCACGCATTATTCACAACTCACTCACTTACTCTAACATAGAGGTAACTGAAATTACCTTTCCTTCATGAATCAAGTGCCCTCACTTAAGAAAAGAGAGTAGTTTCGCACATAATACAATTTAAGAACAAATTGGAACTCAAGATAGAAAGAATTCACTCACTCTCAGAAATAACATTCATATGCCATAAAAGATTCACCATAGGCTTGCCCGTAGTGTACTACTCTACTACTCGAGCTCATTCAGTTTAGGATCAAGTAAGACTTTTTTTGGTTGTAATGTAGGTTGCGGGTCGGGTATGATACATTTAGATATAAGAGTGACTACGCCTCCCTAAGCACTTTAATACATACACTTTAACATTTTAAACCCACACTTATGTCAAGCCCTAACTCCACCTTCACATCAATATACATCAACTTCCAAATTATTTAAGCACAATTACATCAAGAGTCACTACTATCAAAGAATATTTTTCACAGTAATACAACTTTTTTTTTTCTTTTCTCTTTTCAAGTGGCTCTTGCTTTTTCAAAACAGTGCACCTTTCTCCTTATTTCTTTAGTTTCACTCAAAAACCAAACCAACTACCACATACTTTAACTTTTACAAAGTTCATAATAATTCAAGTGCTCATGAGAGGTGAAAAGATTCAAATAGATGGTTAATTCAAACAAATGGATAAGGCTTGTAATGTGGTTGCCAAAGAAACAGGATTACAGGCTCAAAGGGTTAACTATGATACATAACAATTAGGCGGGTAAAATATATCTATGGCTCAACAAAGAAACGCCTATATCACTTCCAAGACTAAACAAAACTACTATTTCTTTTTGCAAACACACGAG